AAGAAAGAAAACTAGAAGGCTGGCCAGATAGCTCAGCGGATTAAAGTGCCTGCTTAGGCAGAGCACAGCAGCCAAGGTTCATTTCCCAGCCTTCTGTGCTGGCCCTGCCCCTGGGGCATGCTGAGACTGTGATTGAGACTGAGCATGGTGGTGCACATCTATAATACCACAGCTTGGGAGGCTGAAAACAAGAGAACTACTACATGTCTCATCTACATAGCAAGACACTGTAGAGCCTGTCCTAAATGCATTTTTTTTAAAAAAAGAATAAAAACTAGAGCTGAAATTAATGATAGAGACTAAAGAAACATTACACAGGATCCATAAAACAAAGAGTCTTTTTTTTTTTTTTTTTTTTTTTTCCGGAACCAGGGATTGAACTCAGGCCCTTGCGCTTGCCAGGGAAGCGCTTATTCCACTGAGCCAACTCCCCAGCCCCTGAAAATATTTTTAACAAGATAAGATTAATAAACCTTTAGTGCATCTAATTGAGAGAAAACTCAAATCAATTCAATTAAAGATGAAAAACATGCTCTGACAAGTATCATTTAAATTCAGAGGATTATACAAACTAATTTTTTAAATCTACATGCTAATAAACTAGAGCATCTAGAAGAAATGCATAAATTTCTAGACACATACAATCTATCAAAATTTAAGTGGAGAAAATTTTTTTAAAAAACCTAAATAGATCAATTACAAAAAATGAGATCAAAGCAGTAAGAGTCTCCCAGACAGGTTCACTGAATTTTACTAGTTTTTAAAGAATAACACTGATGGCCCTCAAACTATTCTACAAAGTTAAAGAGATATGAAATGCTCCAAAACTCATTCATGTGGCCAAAATCACTCCGATACCAAATCCAGTAAAAGAATGAGAGAAAGGAGAGAAGGAAGGAAAGGAAAAGAAAATAAAGGAAAAGACAGGACAGGACAGGACAGCATAGGACAGGAGAAAAATACCTTGATAGAAATGAATGCAAAAATCCTCAGTAAGATACATGCAAACAGAATTCAACAATACATTAAAATGATCATACACCATGATCAAATTGGTTTGGATTAATTCCAGGAATGCAAGGATGGTACAACATACACAAGTCAATAAATATAATACACAATTTAAATGGAACCCAAGATAAAACTCACATGATAAAGAAAAAATCCTTCAACCAAATTGAACATCACTTCATGATAAAAGCATTATTGTACTGAAGGATCATTCCACAACATTAATAAAAACCACATACAAGTCCACAGCTAACATTATTCTGAATGTGGAAAAGCAGTATTTCTCTTAAATCATGAATAAGGCACATTCACTTACATTACTCTTATTCAATATAGTTCTTTAAATTTTAGTAATTAGGCAAAAGAAAAAAAAATAAAAGGAACACAAATAGGAAAGGAAGAATTAACCAAATTGCCCTGGTTTGCAAATGATGTAATCCTATACTTAGAATACCCTAAAAACTTTTAACAGACCTTAGAGCTGATAGGTAAATTTCGCAAGGGACAGGGCATAAAATCAACATAAAAAATATCAATAATGAGTTAAAAAAAAATACAAGGCAGAGCAGTGAACACAAGCTGTCTCTGGGACAGTGTCTAGAGTCTGGAAAACAGTAGCTTGGAGAGGAATCAAAGTGCAAAATAGTTACCCAGGAACCAGGAGGAGAAGGAACAAAGGAGATTAGAAGGAAGGAAGGAAGGAAGGAAGGAAGGAAGGAAGG